CATTTGGGGCTCCACTGCCTTCAGAGTCAACTAGGCTGAAAACCTCAAGAGTCACTTTCACTTCACCTTCTCTTTCATTCTCCAACCCTCAAGGTTCTCAGAGATCTACAGCTTTTCTTCCAAATACCTTCCACTTTTGCAACACACTTGCTAAACCCACTGGCAATTCTCTAGACCAGTTCTTTATTATTTCCTACCACATTGTTTTCATTCTCCCTGTCCTCATTTTCCTTTAGCATTAGTGCAACCTTCAGAGTCAGTAGAGTAGTATATGGAAGACTAGCCTTGATTTTTATCTCTCCCTGATCAGGTGTTTTCAGCAATTATATGACAATCAAAATAAACTGAATCCAAACTCTTTGATGACATTGAGGCTTCTACCATCCTTTTCTGCTCTACTCTCTCTTACACAACAATCTCCCTTTATTCCTTCCCACAAAAATACCTTCCATCCCCCCAAGTTCAAACCATCTTCTAGAAGACTTGGACAGTACCTTTCATTAACTTCCTGCCCCCAGCAAGAAGCAATCACCTCCACCACATACTAGATACAGTATTTACACAATATTATTGTACTTATTTAATATATTGTGTGATGCAATTATTTACAAATGGTATCTGACCATAGCTAGGATTTGAAATAAAAAAAAAAAATCAGCAAGGAAACTGGCAGCACATAAAACAACTTTTGAAAAGAAGGAAAATCTAAATATTAAAATATTTTTAAGAGTTGAAAAAAGAATTAACCAATCAAAGCTTCCATTATATGTCTGTTTTCTATCACAAGGATATGCCAAATTAACTCAGCAGATTCCCTTTAAAACTTTCACTTTGGCAAATAAAGTTTTCCTGGGTGTCACTAGTAGTAAACTTTAGAATCATGCCAATTATGTCAGCACAAATTCAAAATCTAATTCAGGGGTAAGCAAAACTGTCCCAACAGCTACTGTGTTATTATACCCAATCAAGATTTAATAGGGCCCAGGGTTCTGCTAATGAATGACTTCAAGAAAGAAAATGAAATACAGGCATTTTTCGAATCAATATTATTCTCTTTATTGAGGTCTTGGAAAACCAACAGACAGAATTTGCAATCTAAAACCTTCTGGTCTGAAATACAGGACTGTGACCCCAGATACTCTGGAGGCTGAGGCTGGAAGACCATAAGTTCAAAGCCTGTCTGGGCTACAAGAGTGAGCAACTTAATGTGATGTTGTCCAAAAACAAAGCAGATTTTTTTTTAAATAGTCAAAAATACCCTGAAGATGTAGCCAATGGGGTGAGTAGCACACCTACTCAGTGTGGATTAAACACCCAGTACCACTCAGGGAAGGGGAACTATATTTTAAAGCTTATAGAACCTTTTCCAGATGTATGAGGAATTCAACTTTTTAAAAGTAATATTGTAGTACTGTTATTTTAAAAATAACCTATGTATCAATGATTGACAAACTTCAAATTTCATTCTGGTGAAATTACACACATCAAGAAAGAGTTATTTCAAGTCTAAGTGATGTTCTATGGTTAGAAGGCAGAAAAATGTTACTTGGCATCATTACTTTCTAAGTGCTTTTAACACTTATATACCAATGCAAATTCAAATAAATGGCCAGGACTGCAAGACAAAAGCATAGGCAGGTACTCAGCTTGCTTTGCTCTTTAGCATCAATTAATTATTTTCTAATTTCCAGAGCATCCATGTACACTCAGGGCATTTAGCATCTATTAGAAGGAAAATGTTTCTTCTGTTTTCCATCACCTGGCTCAGACTCCCGTGCAAACCACACTCAGGAACCTCACATTAATAAATTATGACTCCAACCACACAGATTAGCAACCATTTCCTTACCCTCACCACTTCAGCATTTCCAACAGGAGTACAATAATGCTGTTCCTAAAAGGCAAATTGCAGACAGAAAACGAATGTCCAGAATGAGGTAGGTATCCTCTATTCTGCCTCTACTCTGCTTTGAGTCTATACTCCAGCCCTTTTCATACCCCATGGCAATTAGCAACTCATATGTCCAGTTCTAATACTGCCCTCCTGATTTACAGACCAAGCACAGAGTTATGCCTTACCTAGTCTCCCCCAGTAATAACCACTTACGGACACACAATAGAACCTCAACAAGTGTTTAGGAAACCATGCCTGTAACAATTTTGGAACAAATTCCACATTTGATTTTGTGTATATTTAAACTTATGTGTGTATTCAAGAATAGTTCTGTCAGTCTTATCAATGAGACACACCCACTAACCAGCTGGTATAGGGTCAGCCTTTTAGACTCAAAGGAAGAGCTAAGACCAGAAAACTGTAGAAATGGGATGCCTTGGAATCCATCATTAAGTCATTTTCTCAGTGCATGCACTACGTGAACTCAGTGTTACTGATTACAAAACATTACACATCTTACAAAGAACACAAGGAGCAATTGCTTTCTCCTATTGCTTGGTGACCTTGGAAAGAATGCCTGCCCTGGGAAAAGAGAACAATTAGTTGCAATTGAACTCTCAGTTGAGTATCTTAAGTTCTAGACAGCAAAGAATTATAAAGCTTAGGAGGGATGTCCTGTCCAGTCCAAGACTGATTCACTGTCCTCTCTAAAATGAGTTATGTTATTTAGTAGTTACCTGCAAATAACACTTTGACGACCTCCCCAAGGGAACAGCCTTCGTAAAGAAAACAGTAACGTTACACTTACACCTGACTCTTAACCAGCTAATAGACCTGAAGGCATCTGTTCTGCTAGTCACAAAGTAAACTCACACTACTGTAGCTACTTTTCTAAATGGTAACATTTTTGTACTAGTAATAAAGTCCCTTAAGAATAGTCAGATAATGTTGATATTATGAGCCACTTCCTTCATCATTGTCAAAATCTGAGAAGACAAACCCATGCTGGAGAAGACTTCTACACTACAACCTTCAATAACATGTTGTCAACTAGGATTAGTAATTTTCAGTGTCTTTCTCTTACTGTGTGATAAGAGCAGAAATTAACACAGCAAACTCTTACAAAAAATGACCTGAGTTTTCTTCACAAAGCCCACAAATGCATTCACATTGTCACCTTTGACAAATAATGATGATGAATAGTGAAATGCAGATTGCCACACTTTTGCCAACATGGACACCCAACATCCCACTAAGTAGAGACTTAGGGTAAGAGAGTTCCCTGTATGTCAAACTCCTCAACTGTAGAAGCTAAGTTCAAACCCACAAAAGGGTTAATAAAATAAACACTGGCAGGTGTTTAGCTGTCAAATAACCATCCATTGACTGTAACTCATGGTGAAATTATTAGAAGCAGTTAATGCATAGATAAACAACTAGTCATAGAACAAAATTATGAATACCACTTTTTTTTTACCATCTCACTGACTTGATAATAACTATGGCTCACCACTTCCTTATATAAATCTTTTTGATTTTATGCTCTAGCCCTCAATTACAAATACATAAATACAGACCATTTTGAGGATTGATGTGGACAAGGACCATCTCTTCGGTGAAATCTGGCCCATGTGTTGCCGACTTACATAACAGACAGAACTGGAGCAAAACCTGGAATTTCTTCTCCTACTACTGACTAATGACTCAAGCAATAAGGATGACCTTCGAATGCATACTCTATAGAAAAGCGAAGGTGGCTCATACTGTGCTTGCCAAATACATGCAGTTTGCCCAGCTGCATATTTTTCATTCGTAAGTGTCCAAGGCTAAACCCAAAACTTGACCCCAAGCAGCAAGTTGCAATGTTCTGACATCATGACATCATTCTGTCTGGAGCACTTTAGTATAACAATTTGAAGAAATTGGCAGAGGCTTAAATAGGTCACTCTGAAGTCCTAAACTAAGGCTATTATTCACCTGGTTAAAATATTCTGGTGCTGCATTTGACACTAGTGGCCATCCAATGACAGGCCCATGCTTTAGTTATCTTATTCACAGCCTACATAAAGATTCATGAAGATAACATTTACAGTGTCACCTCCCAGGACTGTCACTACTACTCCACAGCTTTTTTGTAGCCAACTTTGTCTTTAGTAGCAAACCAAAGCAAAGGGAAATGCCACCCTATGATTTCAAACAAGCTTTGACTCATCCTTACTTAACAAGGACCATATTTTTAATGTCTAAAATGCAGCATAGTCGAACTGCTTCAAAATCATAAAGCATGAATTTGTGCAAAGAAGTAAGCCTTACAAGCCTCCTTGTAAAGACAACTAGCTTTACAGTAGGGCCCTGTGAGGTGCTCATACTGCCATTTCAACTGGATTTTTCTGAGAACCGACATCCAGTTTGGTTTCGTCTTGTGAAACTAGAGTTCATCTAAAAGCAACAAGCAGAAACCACAGAAGTCTCTGACACTCTCAGCCCCACACAACCTCCAACACATTTTCCTTTCACAATAAACAATGCACACCCCCAAAAGGTTCCCTGTTTCAAAATGGAATAGTAGATGAAAGAAACCAGAGTGATGATGCCATGAACAGTAAAGAAAAAAAAAAAAACTTTCTTAATGATGATGAGTTGACACAGAAAAATGGAAACTCCTAAACACTTCTTCCTCAGTAAAGCACTGGTTCTTTCCCCAGTGAATATTTCAACATTACACATGTGGCTGGCTGTCCTAATGTGCTCCTGCGGAGACTTTTGTTCACTTACTGCTTTTAGCCTTCTGCTATCTACAAGCAAAGTAACACCACATATGACTGAACAAACTTCTAACCCATACTACAGCAGCCAATGGTGAAAACTCTGGATATCTGAGTAATATCCAGGAACTCTGGACCTTGAGAAGCAAGACAAAAGGTTAAAAGAAAAACAAAAATCTTTGCTTTGAATCCAACTTTTCCAAACACAGAGTTGAAGAAAAATGGCCAACACAAATCCAACAAGCTCTGCCATAATGACAACTCTTAACCATATGTATAAATGGAACGTGGCGATAACTGCTTTCAGAGTAAACAGGGACCTGTGGACGAACTGAACTCACCACTTTGTCCATGAGTTTCCAAGTCTTCTCCACAGTCCTGCGATCAGCTGCAGCTTGCTTGGGGGGTCCAACTGCATCCTGAATAGCATCAATAATCCCCAAAATTCGACCTTTGCGGGGGTTTCCTCCTCGACCACCAGGGTTTCTGCCATTCATAGAATTTGCCATCTGGAATCCTAGTCCTTTTTGTAAGGTAAATTTTTAGAAAGAAGAAAAGTTAACTGGATATAAAAGTATTTTCCCAACAGGAAACTGAACCGAAAAGGTTCGCTTCTACCCACTAATAATATTCTCTGCCAACGTGTGACAAAACGTACGGGCCCATACTCAACTTTTTAGTAACCCGGTGCAACTGCGTTCTCCAAGTTAAGAACTGTAACGCTAGGTTTGCTTTCACAATCGTAGTAGAAGTTAAGGATGCATCTCCCTCCTGGTGTTCCACACAGCTACAGCTCATCACCAACAACAACAAAACAACTTTTAACAGATAAGAACTCAATGTTCCTCCCTCTTCTGCTGTAACCCAGATTCAAAACACCAGAGCTGCAACCCCTAAAATTCATGTTGGGAACTTCACTCAGAAGCCTCCTTCACGCTGTTAGATTTCCCCAAGTTATTACATAAATGCAAAGTGCTCCGCACACGCATAAGGGGCACGTCTGTTGTCAACAAAGGCGGAGGACTGGATTTCCCCAGGCAAAACGAGCAGCCGCGGACACACAAATAGTTCTTTAAAGCAATGCTGTGAGTAGTTTTTCCCTAGAGCCAAATAAACGAACCAACAAACAACCCTTTCTTAAAAAGCGGTGAGAACCCGGCAAGGGCGGGCACGCACAGCGGAGTTCACTTCTCCTCGGGTGGCCCCTAGTCTGCCTACCCGGGATAGGGAGATCCAAAGCTTTGTTTCGGGACGCTTGTGCCCCTTCCCGGCTCGGGCCTCTCGTCCGCCACTCGAGGATCTGGGAAAGGGACCAGGAATGCAGCCAGGATAAAGTACCCCTAGCTCCAGACCTGGCCCTGGAGTCCCACAGCCTGCCGGATCCCGCTCCAGTCGCACGCACCTCCCACCGGCTGCCACCAGTCTGAGTCCGCTCCCTCCCGGGCCTCGGGCCAGGCAGGGACTGCTCTTTAAATCCCCGCTTGGCTCAGGCCCGCAGTGGCGACAGCAGCTGGAAGCCAGGGCTGTCCCCTCTCCCTGATGGCCCGCGCCCAGCTTCAGAGCCCCCGGGCCAGCAAGCAGCGCCCAACCTCGGGGAGCCCGGTTCCCTCCTCTCCTCGGGTCACCGCGACCCTCCGGAGCCACGCGTGATCGCGGGTCCCACTACACACACGCGCGCGCGCTGCCCTGGCTGGGGGGGCTCGGGCGGGGACGCTGTGGAATCGCCCTAAGAGAGCGCTCCGGGGAAGAAGCCACCGAGATCTCGGGACACCGAGACACGGGGACGCGGCAATTACCGTGC